TACATTTGAATTCACAGGATCGAGAATACTGGTTAGTCTAAGTAGAAGGGATGAGGGCTATATCATGGTACAGTTCTAAGTAGTTTTTCCTATTCTAGTGGGACACGTCGTAAGGAATGCATTGTAATTAAAGAGTTTCTGTTCAAGAGAGCGGACATGATGTCGCGGCAGGTAGCGCCACTTGGCACTCGTGCTGCAAGTGGGTGGGATTGCCCAGGCCAATCGAGCCTCCTATCCCTACAAGACCACAAAATTGGCCACCAGACGCATCCGAGAAGATAGCAACACTGAACAGCAACTTTGATTTCCTCTCACAAGTAGTTATATAGGTCATATAGCATGAAGCCACTACGACCTTGCATGGAACGTGGAAGTGGAAGGCGTGGCGCATTATCAAAAGGCATGAAAAACACCATAAGCTTCCTCAAGTCTAGAGCAGACGGATAGCACTTGAAACCTATCTAGAAAAACACAACATGGAATTCCGCTTTACGTAAACGTCACAAATGCCTCAAAGAAGGAAGCAAGCTGACCTGTATATAGAGGCCAAGTACACAAGCCTAATGTATGGCCCCTTACACCTCACATCCCTAAAACGCGGTAGGCGTGGTTACGTACTCGATTTGAACATGACCTATAGTCTGGCTCGCTACGGATGATATGTGTGTCCGCGCATTTGCGTTTGACATTTTTTCTTTTCACTCCAAAGGGGACAGGACTGTATCACTCGTTCTCATTAGTCATTTTCCACCTGTTATTTTCACTTACCTGCTCAAAAAACCGGTGCGAGACGGATATGTTGGCACGCTGGACGCAGCCGCGCGGACACGCCCCATCATCCCCAGCGAACGGGACTATAGGACGAGTTAGTGGAGGGATATTTCAATTCCATACTGTCACCTTTTCAAGTGAAACAATGACATAACAATTACTCCAATATGAAAAATCACACAAAAAGCGCAGCCGCCTTCACTTCTTGGTGAGGTCCGCCAATTCTCCTTCTCAAAATTGGCGGAGATGTGGCATCTCCGCCAATTTATGGATCTCGAGCTTAAAGGCAGTTGGCACGATGGTTTCCTACTTAGCCTAAAATGCTAGTAGGGCGCTGTATAGTGGGGAAATGGCGAAAGAACGGAGTGAAACGGTCAAAATCCTGCGAAGAAAAAGCCTCCGTTCTCAGTGACTTGTAAATCGATTTCGGACGAGTTTCCCGTAGGCATCTTACCAATCACCGCTACCGAAGATACGGCTGCATATGTGTACCCATGTATGCATGCAGCATCACGGCCGCTTCATACCAATCCCTTCGCTTCATAATTTGCTTAGCAAATGAATGAATACGAGCGTCAGGAACGGTCGTCCATTTGTTTGTGGGCGGGCGGGCGTTTGGGACGTAAAGTTGTGGCAGGGCCCTTATAAGGGCACCTTCCTCGGG